AAAAATTTATGACCATATAAATGCGATATATACTAATATTTATTTTCTGTTTTAACACTTCTCAGGAAGTATCATAAATATAAATAAAAAATATTACTTTTATTTTTATGTACAATAACCTCGATGTAATATTTAAATTTTTCTGTTTAACTATTTTTCACGAATAATTATAAATAATTTTAAAGAAACACTCATTATATTTATTTGTTATTCGTATATTTTTAAAATAAATTAATAAATTTTATATTATTTTGAGAAAAGCAGAGAAGTATTTTATCTTTCGCATTTATTTGTCCAAAAAGTACTGTTTTGTCTTGTACATTATTAATTTTCAGAAATATTGTATACATTGAATAAAAGTACATACTACAGATAGTTTATTTACACACTATACAGGATTGGAGATTCATAGAATCAATAATACTATTAATGCGCGAATTAATAAATCGATGTACACCATACTTATGCTTATTTGTCTACTTATTTTGAAAAGAAGGATCGCACAAAGGATACGCACATTGGCGGGATTGTTCACTGACAAAAAAGGTCACAACTGAAATTATGTATGCTTAATTATCATATGAAATTAAAATAGCCAACGTCACATATGTATATGTATCCTTCCTAAGCAAAGGAGAACTTTTAGATTCGATGTATTTAGAAAACGCAGAATTCAGTCTTAAAGGTAGGAAGCACGCATTTTCCTAAATAATTCGCTTTGGTCTTAGAACTGCGTTCATATTACATGTATGTATATATGCATCTCATTGCTTCAACCTTATTTGACAATGTTAATAAGCATCTTAACAAGAATGAAAGCATCATTTGTGATGCAACTAATACACATTTAAACAGTTTGCACAATACGAAAATTAATAAATAGATATGACCAGAATGTAGATAGGCATTAAATGTAAAAAAATGATCTATAGATAAATTTAATACATAAAATTCATTGCTCTAATGATCATCTTTTACTACTTACAAGAATAAGTTTGTCGTCGCAATGTTACATGTTTCTCTTTTAAAGTGTTTTTGGATGCTTCCCTTTATCCATTATTTTCTCGTGTAGTTTGTTTGTGTTGTATTTCTTTAAAAGTTTTGACCTGTACACTCAATCTTTCCGCTGAAGTAGTGGTAGAAGAAGAGGTAATGGAAGAAGATGAGGAAGACGAAGAAGATGAAGACGAAGACGAAAACGACGATGACGAAGATGGATCGTCATTAACAATTGAAGGAGCACCTGGACCAGGTGATGGACTATGCACAGGTCGAAAAGAACAACCAAGAGAGTCAAGACTGGAACAAGACTCTGGAGTTCCAACTGAACTAATAGTTCCAGGATGTAGACTAGATATTGCCACATCCAACCTATGTTGAAAGATATTGCATTGCATATACTAATGACTTTGTAGCATTAATCTAATATTTTTTTTATTTTAAGTAATAAAATTACCTAGATGCAGCAGAAGTTAGCAAACCGGAAGTACGTTTCGCAGGAGGTTGTAACTGATCCATTCCAGAATCATCTAATTCAAATTTTCTCTTAACTGATGCCAAACAACTCGGTCGTATTGCAATAGGACTTAGGCTCCGTCTTCAGACACAAAATTGTTAATTGATAAGACCATACCAATAAACTATACCTTATTATATAGAAGTATAATACACATGAAAAAAAATAACCTTGTAGCAAAAGCTTTTCTAGTAGGGCTAGGTGATAGATTATTTTTCCATGTAGCTGCATGAACACCAGGCGAATAGCAATGTCTTTGACCAAAACCAGTTCTTGTTGGTGATGGTGAAGAATATGTAGTTGAACCACTTACAGATAAATTGATACTCAAGGGGTCAAGAATTCGTTTAGCAATTGGTTGTGATTCTATCTTAAATTGCAATGAAGCTGATTCTGAGTCTTTAAAGGACAATCCTTCTGCTTCTATGGTGAGGTCTTCCCATGATTGAGAGATCTGCATGGCACTGTGTATTTCTTTTTCATGTGCTGCTTCACGACCAGCAACATCAATGCATTCTTCTTGTCTCAATTGACTTACACGTGGTGTTAGCCTAGGAACAGTTCCAGGACTCTAAAACAACAATTATTTTATCATTAAAAACAAATCAGTGGTATAAAGTATCACAAAACTATAGTCAGCAAATGATTTTCTTATTAATAAAGCTAATTACTCTATGGTAACTACATTTATATTTAATTTTAAATAATCGTTTTCTTGTAATTTTAAAGTAATACATAATAAACATGGACATTGCACATATACAAGATTCATTCTTACACTAGTGCTGAAGCGTCGTGTACGAGGTGAATTTGAAAATATGTTAAAATTTGATGGGACATCCCTGCAAGCAATTAAATTATTATTTTGCGATTGTATAATTTGATTAACTGATTATAGTTAAATTTAGCACTTAGATTACATTCATTAACTTAATACAAAATACCTTGGCGCAGAAGCGGAAGGTGATGTTACAGACATTGTTGCAGTGATCTTATTGATCATGGGTGCACTGCTAGACCGTTTCAAACTAATTACTGTGTAGTCAACATCCATGATCATCTAGACCAACTATTTCTTGATACATCTGTCTAGAGACACTTGTCAAGGACTCGAAGTACATTGAAGATGTGCAACAATCTAATTCACTAAGTAAATCAATAAATAATTCTTGGCACAAAATAAACGTATATTGCGCTTTCTCCTGCTGTTGCTATTCGATAGTTCAATAGTAGTAAATTATGTCTTTTAGCACAAGAACTAAGAAGATGCCGCATTTGAGCTCTCATTTAAACACTGCCGCTCCGATTTTCGTTTCACTTTTTGTTGCGCGGTTAACGCAAAATATTTATAATCTATGTTTTGCTTTATAAAATAAAATAAAAAAACTATAAAAACGTAGGCTTTGTCAAATTGAAAGTGTACATAGCAAAAGTACGAAATAGCAAGGTAGATAGACAAATTCCGATATTTCTGATTTTTAGTTCCTACTTGTACCACCGTACAGAAACCAAGTTACAAATTATAAGGTGATTTAATTTCGTAACCCCTAATTCTTCAACGATACCACTAACTACAATTAAATTGTGATTTCTTCGAGTGACCGTCGAACACCTATCGTTTCTTATCATGAAGCACGCGTATGTCAGATCTGGCTATGATCCTTTTGCTTCCTTAGAAAAAATCTTTCATGATTAGGAAGCACACTGAATTTGCTGGTAGCCGCGAGCTCTCGTTAAATTTACAAGTCTAAGCGTACATGATCGAATTGTAAAACTAACTACTATATAAAATATTAGCAAGAAGAAAAAGGGAGGAGAATTATGCTATCTTCAATGATCCTTTTCTAAAATCATAGTTTCTCTCTCTTTCTTCCAAAAGGCGCAACATTTAAGTATTTTCAATAATACTTATGCACTGAATCAATTTAAAATGTTTACTACAAATAAGAAAGAAATAATTTGAATATAATGCTATACGTTTCTGGAATGGTATGATGATTGTATATACAATCGAATTTTAAGCAAATAATTTTCTCGTCATTATGAATATATGCAGTTGGTGCGTATAAAACAAAAGGATATTTAATGGTGGTATTTTCAATAGAAAAAGAGAGAAAACTGCTTAAAATTTATATATCGTGTTAGTTCAAATATCTTTTATAAGATATATTTTATTTTATATATATAATAATATATCTATTATAAATATATGTCAATTATATTATTTTAAATACCTTAAAATAATTTTTTTAATTTCTATAATGAAATAGCTTTTTTCAAAAATATACAATCTAAAAACTGATTTACCGATATAATGACTACGCAATAGATATAAGTAATTATACGATATTTGTTGAATTATACAATTATAATTACAAAATTATTTACCATGTCGTATAATTATCAATAGCTTTACTTATTATGGTTCAAAAGTAGATATCCGAAGATACACCGCAAGAAATAAGTTTATATTCTTTTAAAATGTTATAAATATGACAGGGCAGTAAATTAACAACATATTCTGTAATATATATCATATATATTGCTATATTCTGTAACATAATATAATCTGTAATACAATCACTTATTTTTTGTATCTATCTATATAAAAAATTGTAATCATTAAAAAAATAACATTTATATTCATATATATTTGTTTTATTATATCTTCAACTCCTATAATTTTAAAAATTAATTTTTTCCAAAAATATAAGTTTCATAATTAAAAATTTAGTATTACTTATGAAAACGGGAACATTTATTTATTTTCTACGTATTTTATATTCAATTATTAAAGTCTATTATCTTAAGTTTAAAAAGTCCTGTCTGTGATATAACAGAGTATATATTAATGTTAAAAACAATAATGATTAGTAGATAATAGTTTCAAAATATTAATGAGAGTAAATGAATTTTGTATATTTTTAAATAAAAATTTTATCTCTTTCGCGACAGGCGCCAGCTATATCCGGCATCCACTATCCGCGTCCACGGCGACGATATATATATACATAATACAATATTTAGTAGTATTTAATAAATAGTAGTATTTTATTTTTACTAAATTATATTCAATATTCAAAATTATATTCTATCATTGCTATATAATTTTCAATAAACAACTCAAAGTGAAGATTTATTGCAGGATTTATTTTTAAAGTACAGAACGAGGTCTCAACAACATTTCCTTCATCCAATACATTCTCAAGTTCTCTGTTGTTTCAACGAAATCCTCCAAGATTTTAAACGAACACGTTGGGAGAACAAAAAACGCGAGACGCTCGTACGGTGACATTCGGCGGCATGGCGGCCCGCTCGTAGAGACGCAGTGATGGCTAGTACCCACCGTGGCGAAAGGGTTAAATATCTTTCAATTAATATGTACTTTAAGGTACTGAACATTTACTTTTATGCCCGTTATAATTAAGTAATATCACGTATTTCTTTCCCTAATTTCTAAATTAAGATGGAGAATGAAAAATAGTTTTGAGCAATATTAAAAGGTTTTATTTCTGCTTCCCTCATGCAAACTCTATCCGTTTTAAATATACTGTCTCATCTAAACTGAGATAGCAAGGTATATAAGAAAATACATATATAAGATACGCGAACGATGGTAATTGTTCTTAACAATTATAGAGTTGCAGTAATGAAAGTTCCATAACCACAGTTACTTAACGTTTAGTACAAATAAAAAAATGCCACATTGGATTTCTTATTAAAATTAATCTATTCTATATCTATATCTGCATATCGCATATTTAAATGATTATCTATTATTTGAAATAGTTCTAATGGTTGTGGTATTCTACCAGTTTCCAGTTTAGACCACACTGGAACATCTAGAACATAATAAATAACTTAGATACATATTTATAGATACTGTATAATTATATTTATTATAATTCATAGGAACATTGTTTACCATTAAAATGTATTTCAAAAGCTCCTGATGATATGAAATGTCCTTCTATGGCATTAAAAATAAAAAATATCATTATACAGGAATAAAACCGATTATCTAGACACCATTGCCACAGTGATGTTGGTGATTGTCCTAAATTAAGCCCACTTACTATTAAAATTATCAGTGAAATTTTTGCAAAACTCTAAATAAAAATAAGAAACATAGCACATTAATAAATAACAGATATTACGTGTTATAAAAACAAAATATAATTACCAATAATTTAGCAATGAGCATTTTATTATGAGAGGGAATATAATTTTCTCCATCAATTTGTAATTCTGGATACTTTTGCTGAAGGATATTGACATATTCTTCAAAAACTTTTCTATATCCACATGAATAACTGAAAGCAGAAAAAATAAAAATTATTAGCCTATTAATGAAATTATAAACGTATAAATAAATCATCAAAATAATATATATGTCAAAATATATCGAATAAAAAAAGTAAAATTATTGTTTTTTTTTACAATTAAATTTATAAAACTCACCAATAGAAGAATTTTAACGTCGGTCCCGTTTTTGTACCAAGTTTGGTTAATGAAACTTGATTGTCATCAGCTTTATTGTCTAATGCGCATAAAATAACGCAGAAACACAAAATTAATTTCATACGACGCAGCATTCTTTAAGTCATTGAAAACTCATCAATAGTTTAAATTTTTATCGAAACAACTATATTTTTGTCTTCTAAAAGACGCCAACTAATACTCGTCTACACCTGTCTACACCGATTAGTCACTATCTGCTGTTAAGCAGTGCATTTCCGAATCGAACCGAGTTGAACCGAATCGAGTAAAACATAACTATCTATACAATTTTATCAGATCCATTGAATTCTTAATTTAACTTAATTTAAACATTATTTTGTATTTCTCTGACGTTTTCTCACAAATCTTTGGCCTTATAATAGAATTGAAAATATTTATTTACTTTCTATCAATATCACTTTTATTAGATTTATTTACAATATATCTTTTAAAGTATCCATATCAATACATTAGATTTCAAGGCAGAATGAAAATAAAATAATTTTTAATAATAGATTCATGAGTAAATTAATTTATTTGGTGTTTTCCAATAAATACATATAATTATATTAGGACCATACATATGTATTCTTACGATTTTTGTAATTTATTATTCAATAATCTATACATGTACACTGTGATCATAAATTCATTATGTAATTGAAATCACAGGAGATTTTATAACGCAAAATAAAACGAAAACCAGGAGTAACAAAATTACATTGAACGCTTTATTTTCGAGAAAATCGAATTTGGAGACTTGTCAAGTATATTTAAATTTGTCTAGTAGTCTAGCTCAACATAGACAAGAGTACAAGAATTATTCTACATGCGAAAATAAACCGAAAATGCAGAATGAAGTTATTTCATTTAAGATCTTGTTCTGAAAAAACAAAATTTGAATATGTTTGGTTAAGAATGAGTCTGGTACACATATATTGACAAATTCTCAAATTCGGTTTTCTCAAAAACAAGGCCTTAAATGAAAAAACTTTATTCTATATCTTCAACTAATTTTCATACCTAGAGTAATCTTTTGTCGAAATGATCTATCCTTGTCTATCTGGGATTGGATAAATTCATATATATGTATATTTACCAAGTTTTCAAATTTGGACTTCTCGAAAATATATATATTCTCAATTTCCTTCTTACTTTGAGCTATAGAACCTTTCTCACTTTAAGTGTACCACGAATTTAGGATTACAGTATATAGTAAATAAAATAATATAATCAGTTTCTTTCTGATATAATATATATATAACACAGTATATTTAGCATACGTAGTAATAAAAAATTCACTTTTTCTTTCAGGAATTAAATCTAATTTCTGTTATCTAGTGACATACTACAAATTAGATTTGAAACAATTATTTTTAATGAAAGTAATTCAAAACTAAAATAATGTATACAACATTATGATTTGCTATAATCTTTATTTAAAAATTTTTGAACTAAACACACACATACATGAATCATATAGTATGTATTACAATGCTAGATTACTAGCAAAATGTTAGGTATGTGCAGGATGTCGCATTTAAAGTAACCTTAATAAACCGCTTCGCTATTTTTCAAAGACTATGGAAATGATAAAGTCAATATAATGCAGTAAAATCGGATGCATCATTTGGCCTTTATATTTAGAAAATATTTATTTATAATACTCCTCTTCAATAGTTTTTACTAATTAATAATACTCTCTCTAACAAAAAGATAAAAATTGCCTCTTTAAATAAATACTGCAAACTGCAAAATATTCTTTTAAGTATTAATTACTAAACGTGGAAAAGAAAAATTCAAAATTAGAGCTGAGAAAAAGCAAGATGGATAAGAGTTATTTTTTATGCACTTTATAGTGTACAATGTATCTCTTAATTTTAAAGTGCATAAGTTTATTAAGTTGTTTCCATATATTAAATTTAGTATACAATTTTGTAAATAAAGTATACCAACCCTCAAACTTATTATGTAGTTTTATCAACAAAAATACTTGCTATTTGCTATATTTCATATTCAAAAGAACAATTTCTTTGTAAAAAGTACTTTATAACTTTTTAAGAGGCCATTCTGGCAGCAATATGTTTGATAAAAGTTTTGTTTGAAAGCCAAATAATTCTCTTCAAATAGTTTTTTGGAGAAAAAAAGGCTTCATTTTTAATATGATAATTGACTTGAGTTATCTCCAACGCGCGAAGCTGTCATAAATCTGGAAATCTAATGAAATTTATAAAATTTATAAGTAAATATTTCGGAAAAGAATGAAATATTTAAATTTAAAAACACTACTTAATTAAATGGATTACGTAAGAAAACCATAAAAAGTTTTTAAATTTACCTCATAGGATCTTCAAGGTAATCTGGTGGTATCTTAAATAATTTGGGATCTATATCATTCCGAAAGGCAAATTCTTGAAAAGTGATTTTTGCTGTCACCGTAGGTAAAATAGGTATATCAATTTTTACAGGGAAACCAGGTGGTAATTTCATTAGAACAAATTCTCGCAATTTACTAAAATGTTTGAATGGCGCTATTACTTCCAAAACATTGAGTAACATATCGACAGTCAGTGGAAAATCTGGGCTCATAGCAACTGTTGCTTTAAATGATTTACTGCTTTCCTTGTAAACAAGATTTCTTCCAAGAAGTGGGGATTGACCGGGTGGAGCCATAATATATTCTTCCCAAGTAATATTTGATTCTGGTGGTGGATTTAATGAAGCTCTTCTAACTTGAGGCTAAAAGTTGATAAATTAGCATATTTAAGTAGAAAAAGAAAATTCTGCTACTTTGTTTACCTTCTCATTAGCAAATCCTTGTGAACTTCCTTTTGTTAATGATTCCATAATAGCCTTATTTTTTTGTAAGTCTTCCTCGCTTAAATGTTCTCGTCGTTTCTTACTTTCCAAAACCATTCCATCGATTTGGTAACATTCCGCGTGGAAAGGCCCTACCATCTCCTTTATTAAATATTTGAGATATATCTCAAAAAAATTTTAAGAAAAGAGCAGGAGAAGGAGGAGAAGTATCATAGGCAAAACCAACAATGCTGGCCTTACCCTTTTATCTTCACGAAATATCCAGCCTGTCTGAGCTTTTGAAAGTGTAATACCTTTTGTTGACATTTGTGCTGCCATGATATCACTTGACATAAGAATATCGACTTCATCTTGTATTTCCAATTCTGTTTCCTAAAAAATGAATCAGTGATAATAAATTCATTATTACAATTCATGATGAAAGATATTCAGTTGCAGATGTTAATTAATAAAAAGCAATTTGACCTCATATCTCACTGTTTGATAACGTTTAGCCAGATTATCAAGTACTGCCAATGATTTGCTTGGCTTTTTATCACCATTAAAAATAAATGATATGTCACCTCTTTCCCATCTCATATCATTGAAATCTACTAAAGTAGTGTCCATTCTGATAGATGCTCCCCTTTTATGTATTTTACAAACATCAGAAGGAAGTACACGAGAAACAAGTGGCACTGGAAAATTATAGATACTTGTAGATTATTACAATTATTATAAATTGATTGCGAATGTTTATGAATTTATGGGAAATTCAAATATGAAAGAATATGCAAAAATATACCACATATCCAAAAAGTAAAGTATTCTTATCGTAATATACATATAAATCCTATTTCTTCAGTGTTCACAAAAATATGAATTTGCATGCAAGCATCTGCAACTTAATTATAATTCAAACATAACATTAAATACCCCAACTTTGAAAATCCCATTTTAATTCCATATAGAAGTCTCCCATTTGGCGTAATGTTGCAAGTAAATTTGGCCTTCTTTCTTCCATTTGCTCTCTAGCTTGTTGGTTTAATTTTCTCACAAGTGATGATACTGTAATATATATACATATATATATATAACTAATATTAAAATTATTTCTTTCTGATAAGTAACCTGCTATTATTTTTACTAACTGGTTTGTCTATCTCCATAACTGATTGCCTCTGCAAGTGGACTCCACCCAGCTAAGTTTTTTACTTTTACAGGTGCACCGTGTGCAAGTAATAATTGAATTGATTCTAAAATTTTATTTGAAACTTTACATATATATCAATAATGTATATTAAATAATTATTTATGTATATTAATGTATATTTGAAATATATATTACCTTTTCTTCCTAACATGACAGCTAAATGTAAAGGAGTATTTCCTATTGAAAGAAAATGAATTGTTTTATAATGTATACTTAAGTAAAATCAATTATCAACAAATATATTGTTAACAAAATTATTAAATTTATAATGTTTGTGTTAACCTTGTGTATCTTTTTCAGCGATATTGTAAGTTCTGATTAAAGAACTTAAAGCTTTAACGTCCCCTTGAAATATGCATTTGTGTAAAGGATATTTTTCATTTTCCAAATTCTCAGCCATGGCCATTTGTTGAGAAAATGATAGCCAAAATAACAATGATTCTTTTCTTTATCTAATCGAATCTCTCTTGATGTAATAATAATTTCCTTGTATTCCATTTCCAAAATATGGCACGTTATATTGAATAATCATATCAAAACTTTCATTACATGAAAATTATTCATGAATAAAAGTTCACTATTTGACGTTATATGTTTAATAATTAATAAAATCAATGAATGAATTTTATATTTGAGTGAATATGTTTCAAGTTTACATTTAAACATCGATACTTTTATATGTTTTCTTTCATGATATGACGCCTAGGATATTCATATACTTATGAAGAACTTTTAAATCGCGTTATATTATCGTTGTTTTACCAATGTTGTTACTTTTGCCGCTGTTTTTATTTGCCCTGTGTTATTCGTATTTGCGCTAGGTGGTCGTTATTATAATCAAAGTAAATAGGTTGGTCACCTCATTTAACGTTTCCCTTATAATACAATTACAAAGTGTTTGTTATCAAAATGAACTTTATCAAATTGCAATTTATTTTAATATTACTTATCCTAAGTGGTACAAATATACTGCATTAATATCACCACATTAAGATGGTATTTACTTACACACTCTAGTACAGTTTATACATTGTAATGTATGTTCATATATGTATGTATCTGGTTATGTGTTAATGCATCAATGAAAACATCTTATGTTGACGAAATTATTATAATTGAAACATGAACATAAATTAAATCTGAAAAATTGACAACTTTGAGAATTATGAGATTGTATATTTCTTTATAGTAAACTTATTATAATTTATATTATACTATATAAAAATTATACAATCAAGTAACAAAGATGAAATTGCTAG